ACTGCAGCTGTGGCTGAAATCAGAAGTGGGTCACCGGATGTGACATGAGTCACAGAAAGCACCTGCTATGGGAGAAAAATAATATCTTTGTTACAGAGTTTTGTGATCATTAACTGAAATATCTATAAAAGGTTTAACATTGTACCAGGGACACAGTTAAGTACTTACCGTGTTCACTTTACTGTTGCTGCTGTTGTTGTCATTGTTATCATCATGATAATCATCATTGCACTTTCCTGAGTAAGAGGCAGAGTTAAATTTGTAGAACGAAACATAACCCACAGCTTGTCTCTTCTATACCACAGCCTGTAGGATTGTATGGTTGACCATGACTTTGTGCCACCTGTAATTATTACAGATTATCGTGGTACTATTACTTTCTCTCTGTGTGTGCATGTATGTGTGTTGACATTTGGTTACAAGGAAAAGTCATATTCAGTCAGTTTTATGGGGTGGAAAAAAGGTTGCTAACCATTTCTCCAGAATAGCATTATCTGATAGAACTTCCTGCACCGATGAAAGTAGTCTTTATTGCTGTCCAATACAGTAGCCACTAGCTGCATGTGGTTTTTGGGTACTTGAAATATGGCTAGTATCGGTGAGAACTCAGGTTTTAATTTTATTCAACTCTAGTTAATTTATATCTAAAAACAAATGGCCACATAAAATACAGCAGAGGACAATTAGAAATAGTGTTTTCAGTGGATTGTGGAAGGACCCTTTCCTGGAGCTAAGATTGGCCAGTGGGGTATTTAACCTGAATCCTAAGCCCGCCACATCTCCCTTTCAGGTTGGAGAATGAAATTGTGGGGACATTAAGCTGGTACTGGCCCAGGGAGGAGAAGCCACAAGCTCCCTGTGGCGCGGTCCGTTGTTCTGTGCACAGAGTCCCCTGCTGGCTATTGTGCAGGCAAGGACTTCATTCTTAGCTGCCTTTGCAAACTCACAAGACCAGCTCTTACTACTTATGCTTCTACCTTGTACCATTTCTCTGCAGGCATTTTTTTTCTGTGCTCACAACCCATGAACAATCATTGCTGAGTACTTACCGTGACCCCAGGTGCTGTGTGAGGCACTGAAGAAGATTAAAGAGAGGCCTATCCACCTGCTGTTCTCTATTCCCTAGATTACGGTGAGCAATAAGATTCTCATATAATGAGCCACTAACTTCAACAGCACCTTCTCTGGTTGGAAATCCATCTCTGCCTCCCTCCCCTCAGCTCCCTGTGTCCTGGAGCTTCGCACTGTGACTGGTAATTGACAATTTACTTGTCTACTTCCTCCACTAAAGCTCCACAGAGGCGGGGACCTCAAACAGTCAAATACCAAACTGTGTGAGGCTGATAACAAGGGCAACAGGAGCTGGGAGAGGAAAGAGATAGTATTCTCTGAAGCCATTCATAGACAACATGGAATTCAGGCTGGGCTTTGAAAAAGAGCAAGATTTATTTACTTGAGGAGTTGAGAAATGGCATTCCAGAGGTATAACATCATAAGCAAAGGCGTGGAGGTAGGATTGCAAATGTTATATTCACAGGAGGCCAGACGAATCAGAAGAGAGGTTAGAAAACTATGTAGGTTAGTAGGGTGGGCCTTGACAGCCAGGCATTTGAATATGGACCTGTCTTATGGGTGGATAAGACCACACTGAACCGGAGCACTCTGTGCTTCTGAGGGTGTTGAAACCCGAGGTTACATCAGAGAGTCTGTCAAGATGTGGTTGGCACCACTTGGTTTTGCCTTTAACCTTTGATCTCTCCTCCTATAGTAGGAGCACTTCAATTTCCTGAGAACCACTGTTCTGCCCATGAGGCACGGTGATATTACCTCTATATCTAGGTTTGGGGATGGATGGACATGTGAACCAGATCCAGCCAATAAGAGTCTTAGGAAGCATTTCATAGACATAGCCAGGGAGTTTTGCTGGAACCGTTATCTTTCTTCTCTGACTGCTAAATTAGTGAGATGTAAGCCTGGAGCTTTCTGACACTATCCTGATGCTGCAGGGTAAGTCTACTTGAGAATTAAACCAGCACAGAGCAAAGCAAAACCAAGGGATGAAAGAGATACCTAATGACATCATCTGAGCACCTGGATGCAGCTGAGCCTGAAGTAGCATCTATTTCTGAGCTGATCAGTTATTAGCCAGTTTCAGTTAGTTTCCTGACACTTGCAACCAAAGGAGTCCTGATTAATGAGTGCAGAGTGGTAAGTGGGATGGCTTAGAGTGGAGGAGATGAGAGTCGGAGTGCGCACACAAGCGGGTTGTGGCTGGAACTCAGACGTGATGCATTGAGGATCTCAACCAGGGGTAAAAAATAAAAAAAGGAGGTGAGTCAAGAGGGAAGAAGGAACTATTTAATCTTTTCCTCTCGTTTAAAGTTGTACAAGTAATGTCTAAGGATTCTTTATCACCTCTTCCTCCATGGTGCCCTTTACCTGCTCTCTCTCATTTGGTTTTCGCAACTTAGTAAGGCACATGAATCAGATATTCTTGTCCTTATTTTATAGCATGAAGAAGTTAAAGGACTTGCTGAAGGTCACACGGGAACTCTGGGGCCTGATTCTGATTCTCTAGCTCATGCTAGATGGACTCTTGTTTGCTTGCATATGGTATAAAGTCACCAGCCACTATCTCTCTGTCTGTCATCTTAGAGTGTGCACTGCATACCGCTCCCCACCCCCCGCCCACCACCCCTCCCCAGGCTTCTCTTATTATGGACGTGGAGAAACAGTAGGAGTTCTTACTGAGCAAAGGCCTGGGAGCCCATGACCCTCTTCATTAAAAATAAAGCCTGCTTGAGCCTCCTGGTTCTAAATAGAAGAAAATGTAGATTTGGGGCAGAACCAAAGGGAAAGGGATTTCCCTTGGCAAATTATTTGCAATTTGTGGATTGGAGCTGACCCAGCTCCAATTCCCACGTCATTGAGCGCGCTAAAATGTGACCAGCTTATTAAAGAACCGGAGCTGGAGGCAGTCCTCCCACAGGGCTCAACAGAACAGGAGCAGAGTTAAAGCCCACGAGCTTTCTCCTCAGTGACTCATGTCCAGGAGCTGCTGGCAGCTCACCCATGGGTTATACGTTCACTCTCAGGCAGGACTTCCTGCGCGGTAGAAATTAGATCAAGCACATTTATGATTGGCTTGTGTCTTTCCTTAGGCATTTTGAAAAGTTACCTCTCGTCGTACAGTTCATTCTTGAACAACACGTTTGAACCAGGCAGATCCACTTGTATGTGGGGTTTTTCCCAATAAATCTGTACAGTACTGTAAATGTATTTTCTCTTATGATTTTCTTAACATTTTTTTCAATTTACTTTATTGTAAGAATATAGTATATAATACATATACAAAATATGTGTTGACTGTTTATGCTATCAGTAAGACTTCTGGTTAACAGTAGGCTATTGGTAGTTAAGCTTTGGGGAATGCAAAGGTATAAACAGATTTTTGACTGCAGGGGTTAGGGGTGCAGTGTTCACAGGTCAACTGTACTTAACTTAGTAGTCCCCAGACTACAGCATGCAGCAAGTGTAAGTTCTTAAGTGCTACTGCCAGAAATTCCGAGCCATGCGGGGCCTGGTGTCGGCCTTTCTGATACACACCCCAGGTGATTCTGAAGCAGGTGGTCCAGGGGCCACAGTCTAAACAACAGGGATGTAAGTGGACAAATGCACAGACTGCAGTGGCCCCTTCATCAGAGGTTTAACGATGCTGCTGTCATCGGCACAAGTCCCAGGAGATCCAACATTTCCTTTTTTACTAACACGGTCAATTACTGGCATAATTTGAAGGACATAGGCCTTTCTTGAGTAAGGGTATCTCTGAGGAGCTGCTGACTCTAGAGTTCTAAGCATTTATCTTCTCCAGTACTCTTTTAAAATCATTAACAGCTGATGGAGAACAGCACTGTGCGTGCATACGTGTGTGTGCGCGCGCGTTTGAAAAGGAAAACCCCCACGTGGCACACCTACAGGGTGTCAGAGTAGGAATGCAGCGCGTCGGTCTCCATGGTCTAGCCCACCAGAGCCCTGGGTGTGTCCCCATCGTTTCCTCTTGCCCAGCCCTGTACCTGAGAGGTAGGGACCAAGGAGAGAGGTTTGTGAAGAGCCTCGTGTGAGGTTTTTCCTTCCTTTGGGTACCTCTATTAACAAAACTCTAAAGAAAATCGACAAGTTCCTATTTCCACATCCACCATATGTGTCATCAACCTTCTCAAATTAACCAGTGGGTGAGGTGGTCCACAGCCCTCCGCAATAAAATTGACTGCATATGAGATGAGTCTGAAAATTCCATTTATTAAAACAAATAAATGGTCCATGTGGGATGAAAATGTACACATCACATTCAGGTCTTCCTGCTTTAACATTTCTGTATTTTCCTCTTTGAAAGACACACTCCATAGATCTTATATAGGAAAAACATGAACAGTTTTTGGGCTGGGGAAACATTAATGTATATGTAACAATTCACCATTGCCAGGAGCAGCTAGAAAAAAAATATTTTAAAAAAAAGAGAGAGATTACAAAAATTCCTTAAGACAGCATGCTCGATTTCTCAAAATTCCATTCGTGAGTGAGTGTATGAAGAAATGATTTTTGGTTTTTCCTTGGTAAGCAACCTCTTTCAAATATTATTAGCAAATTAGCCTTAGACCAAAGTACTTATTTACAACCTGATTTAAAGAAAATAGTATTTGGTTTAAACATTGAAAAAAATGAAACAGTTAATATTGAGAATAATGTATTTTTTTTAAATATGCAGATTATTGTTACTATTTAACTAATTCTATGGCAGATTTTATTACCACTCAATACATTATACACAGAAATTAGGGACTTTAACAATTAGAGTAAGTTTCCCCTTAAGATAAAATTATGCTGGTGAAAAATGATTTTTGAGTCTCTAAAAGAATTAAAACTTTTTAGAGGCATAAATAATCATAAAGGTTTTTTTCCCTTTAATTAAAACTAAAAAGCGAAAACTCATATAAGACCCTTGTATTATAATTCTGTACTGTAAGACATGGAATTAGGAAAAAGCCAAAACATTAATTTCAGATGGGCTATATGTTTACTACCTTCTCTATCCTTTTACAAACAAGGTTACATGAAGTTCGGAGCTTCCTTAATTTTTAGTAACCAGAGCTGTATTGTGGTGCTTCCTAAAGTTTTAATTCTATTTTGATTGTTCCAAAGATCTAGATGAACACGAAAATATAGAGTCCTTCCAAGAAAAATAAGTGGTGTGGGTTATAAAAATCATCAGGGTGTTATAATGATGCCTTAATCACCACCAAAGAGTGCTTATTCACAGTTTTTATGTGACCACATACTCAATTCCATTTTGGCTCATATTAAAAATTGATATGGTTTTAGCTGATTCCACAGATTTGCTAAACTAATGGTACAACACTGTAGTTTGATACATACTCTGCCAGGGTTTTTCCCTCCAAATCATCATCTGTGTCCTACTGACTAGAACAAAATCCCAAAGTTTGAACAGAAGTATCTGGTTGTGGAAGTGCACTCATTCCTTTCACAAGCATTTCAGTATTCTCCTTGCTCCACACCCCCATGTGAGTATTAATTGGATGCATTTATTCTTTTGCCAGCATGCCCATAAGGAGGAACTAGGGAAAATATTTACCAAGTCTGTTTCAAAACCTGTTTTGGCATGTCAAGTCTTTTTGTCTTTTCATTTATTTTCTTTTTAAATGGGGGTAAAGGAAAGAGAGGAAAGTAAAATTAATTTGGAAATGGCCTTTTGGGATTTTGAAGCAAACAAGATGTGATAAAGGCTTCCAGCAACTCCCATCACCAATGGGAGACTAGAGCTGCCATGAAAAATCATTGTCAATGTCAGCTCTTGGGAGGAGAGGGCTCTAACTGCAAGGAAGTTGTAAATAAAGACTGAGCGCCTCTAACAAACAAGATGGAGAACAAAAACAAAAGAAAGATTCTAGTGAAAAAAATAGGTGAGTGACACACAAAGACCATCTCAGTGGAAAAAAGAGCCAGACCCCTCCGGTGGAGGTGGCTGTGGGGGTCACACCTGCCCCCTTCTCCCAGATGGGCGAACAGCTGGGATTCTGAGAATGGGTTTTCTCTGGTGCCATGGGTTCATTTCTCCCAATATTGGGAAAATAAAAACAAAACCAAAAAATAATAAGAAACAAAGGCCACATTTTTCTTAAGAGCACAGAAAGAGTTCTTTCAATCTAGAATTTCCATGATTCAGGGAAAGGAGGCATTTGCTCTTACTCTGTGACAAAAACACCTTCCTGCTCTGGATGGAGCCTTACATCTCCTGCTTGGTGGTAACTGTGATTCATGGATCCCAAATAAAACCCACATGCTTTGGATTCTGGAAATCATATTGAAGAGGCTGATAACTATACCACTGAAAACTAGGAGGTATTTTAGGTGTGGCTAAGGCGCTGAAGTCATCTCAATTTTCAAGATACTGAGTTTTTTCCTTCCCAGCTTCTTTGCTCTTTCATTTCTTTTCCAATCTCTAGAGTAAAACAACAAAACTTCTGAATGGATGTAACATAGGGACATGTTCATGCAAGAGTACTCAAAAACTGTCACAAATATATGAAAGCACCAGTCACAACACATGATTTACTTTTACTTGCAGAATCAAAGCTATCATGTACAAATGTTAGGAATAGTGATACGAGAACACAGACAACCGGCATTGTTTTTGTTACTACCATGAGGATAAACCACTAGGAATATCTCCCTAACACTGCGTGCTTATCCTTGCAGTTCAGTCTCACAGACAAGTCCAGCCTTATCTCTGTACTACTCTAATGGGGAGGGGGTAGCAGGAGGGTCAGGGAGAAAGAGAAAACGAAGGCACAAAGACTAGACATCAATGCCATTAAACCGAACCGTGGTTACACTGGACAACTCAGCTGATCAAAGGGTATTCTAAAGGCAATATTCATTCCAAAAAGGTCAAACATATCTTAGCTCAGTACAGCTGTCTGTTTGAATTTTTATTTTTTAAATATGAAGCAGAAACAGAAGGTTTTGGGAGGGATAGCAGAAAAGAAATGACACAGATTTTATCTTTACACAGTCCCCTCCTCCAGGCAGTTCTGCAAGATATCAGAGCTCTTAACTCAGGGTGTGGATTGACTTTCATTGTCATAAAGGGGACCAGTTCTTTAAACATGCATAGCCTGGAGTTTCCAGGATGGTTCTCCTCCCTCTATTTAAATGCTGTGGACTAGAAAGGCGCCCACTTTGCTAAAAACTCTACATCAGTGTCCCAGGAGCCCTGAGGCTCTTCAGCTCCTCATGAAGACTTAAAGGATGGCACAGAAAAACTTCTTCTCCCTAAATGGGTTCTCTGAAGCCGGAACAGGGGTCAGGAGGGGATCTTCCTTGGCATGAGCTTCACAGTAGGCCATCAAGTCTGCAGCTGCCTTGGATACCTGGAAAGGAAGATAACAACCAAAACTTTAGATGAGGCATTGATGCAAGTGCAGTCAGTTAAGGCCCAGGTTTTGGTGTTCAACTTCCCTCAAGAATTCAGGTTCAAACCCTAACCCCGCCACTTGCTAGCTCAAGTGAAAGTGAAGCAAGATACTTAACCTCCATCTGCAAAGAAGGGAGTTAATGCTCTTGACCTCACAGGATTGCTGCAAGCAGGTCTAGGTCTAGGGTGAGGGGAATAGGCACTTAGGGCACAAAATTGAGGGAGATGCACATGGTCAGGGTCACGCAAGTATCAGCTCTGCATTTGTACAGCCCCGAGAGTGGGTTATCCAATTTATTGGCATTTAATTGTTCATAGTATTCTCTTATGATCCTTTTTACATGGTGTTTGTGTGGTATTAGTTGTAATGTCTCTTATTGCATTTCTGATTTTACTTATTTGAGTCTTTTATTAGTCAAGCTAAGGTTTGTCAATGTTGTTCATATTTTTAAAAAAATCAGCTTTTTGTTTCATTGATCTTTTATATTCTCTTTCTGGGTTCCATTTTGTTTGTTTCTGCTCTAATCTTTGTTATTTCTGTCCTTTTGCTAGTTTTGTGAGTAATCTGTTTTTTTTTAAAGTTTCCAAAGGTATAAAGTTAGGCTATTTTAGATTTTTTTTTCTTAATGTAGGCATTTATCGCTGTAAACTTTCCTTTTAGAACTGCTTTTGCTACATACCATAAGTTTTGGTATGTTGTTTACATTTTTTTGTTTGTTTCAAGATTTTTTTAATTTCCCTTTTTATGTCTTCTTGATTCATTGGCTGATTGTTCAGGAGTGTGTTGTTTAATTTCCACTTACTTGTAATTTTCCAGTTTTTCTTCCGTTAGTGATTGCTAGTTTCATACCACTGTAGTTAGAAAAGATTCTTGGTATGATTTCAGTCTTCTTAAATTTGCTAAGACTTGTTTTGTGATCTATTATTTAACCTGTCCTGGAGAATGTTTCATATGCACTTGAGAAAAATGTGTATTCTGCTGCTGTTTGATTAAATGTTCTATATATGTTGGTTAGATTCATTTGCCCTAATGTATAGTTAAGGTGAAATCCAATATTTCCTCTAATTTTCTGTCTGGATGCTCTATCCATAGTTAAAAGCGGGGTGCTGAAGTCCCACACTATTATTGTATTGTTGTCTATTTTTTCCTTCAGGTCTTAAATATTTGCTTAATATATTCAGGTGCTCCAATATTGGGTACATACATATTTATGATTGTTATATCCTCTTGATGAACTGACCCCTTTATCATTTTACAGTGACCTTCTTTGTCTCTTGTTACAGTTTTTGGCTTAAAGTCTCACTCTTTAATAGGCATTACATTGCTTCTAAAATATTTTTATTGTGTTTCAATTTTGTTCCATATCTTGATTTACTTTTTCTCTTTTGATCTACATAAGAATCCTGAGGTAGAAAGTGTTATTTTCCTTTTAAAAATGAAAAATTAAGGCTCCGCACATTGCATATACATATAGCAGAGTACACAGCAGAAAAAGAACTTGAGCCACTATATTTTGCTATTAAGCCTCAGCCACCCACATACAAACTACTCAAATGCAGGGCTAGTTCTAAAGGTTGATTAAAATTCCTTGTGCATCTTTATGAAATGCTACTATGACAAAATGAAAGAAAACATCCTGTTCTCGTTTTAGCTCCTCTAAATAAAAGCAAAGGACAGACTTTCAGAATTTTGATTACTCTTCTTTTGTGACTTTCATGGTTTGATCCATAGCCATCATCGCACCAAACAGGAGCTTAGCTGCAAGCAGCAGAGACTGGACAACATTAATATCGAAAACTCACTCGTTAAGAAGAGATCCAGCGCCATCATTACTCATTTGCAATGCTTATGCACAAATATGTGCAGAAATTCTCAAAATCTTGTTATGAAGCAGGAAAGTGTTATTCTGGGAAAAAAATGAAGAGCTTACAATTGCTCATGTCTTCTATTTGAACACTTGATTCTAGATTTCCTTCTCAAAATATATTATGTGTTTTATCTTGTTTCCTTAACTAGAGTGCAATCTCCTGTGGGTGATAGTCCAAAACAATGTCAGAATCCCAGCAGTAATTAAAAGATTGCTAACATTTACCTGTCCTTGCTATGTAACAAAACTACACTAACCACTTTACATACAGTATCTCATTTAATTCCTACAACAATATTATTGGTCACAAGCTATTATTATCCTCATCTTTAATATGTGAAGTTGAGGCTTCATTAGGTAAATGTTTGCCTTAGGTCTCATAGCTCATGGGTGGCCAAGTCATGGGTCTCACCGTTCCTGACTTAATCTTTACGAATGTTCTTCCTTTCTAGCCCATAGCTGCCATTCTTGTTCCTTACCTTACAATGATTCACAACAATAGCCTGCCTGGCAAATCTTGCTTTCTGACTATTCCTTTTAACATTTTGTACATAGTGTCTTTTACATTTTATATCCCTAGGTCTACTTTTTCTGTGAAGATTTCCCCAATAACTTTAGATAATCTCTCCCTTTATCCTATTGATTCTTCCAAAAATATCTGATTTGTCCTCTATTGTCATCTCTATTAATATTACCCTAGTTCAAGCCTTCACCTTTTTTTCCCCATGATTATTGAAATAACCTCTTCAGTTAAAATTCCCAAAGGATCTGCTATAGACTGAATATGTCTCCCCAAATCATATGTTGAAATGTTAATCACTGATGTGATGGTATTTGGAGGTGGGGTCTTTGGGAGGTGATTAGGTTATGAAAGCAGAGCCCCCATAAATAGGATTAGTGCCCTTATAAAAGAGACCCCAGAGAGCTCTGTTGCCTCTTCCACCATGTAAGGTTGTAGTGAGAACACAGCTTTCTATAACCAGGAAGCAGGCCCTCATCAGACACCAAATCTGCAAAACACCTTGATGTAGGACTTCTAGCTTCCACAACTGTGAGAAATAAATTTCTACTGTCTATAAGCTACTTAGTCTATGGTATTGTGTTACAGCAGCTCAAATGGACAAACACAGGATCCATGGGTAGAATTCAGGGGTAGTTTATGAACGTCAGTGATTAAAAATAACTACATCTTTATTTTCAATGGAAAACAACCTCATTGGAAATTTAGCATTTTTTCCATTATAGGTGTAAACACCACACTGCAGTAGCAGTTTCTGTGACTTAGTTGCCAATAGAAATCAGATATATTCTCTCATGTTAGTTATTGCAAACATCTCAACATTTCATTTATGTTCACCCATTTTATATTTATAGATCTTCTTCTAGACGTTATAGTCAGTTAATAAAGGATTATGCATATATCACAAATATTTTTCTAAAAAATATTTTGATGAAATATATTTCAATATAAGTAGTTTCCTTTGTAAATTAAAAACATTATTCTGAGAAGGGAACCATATTCTTCAACAGACAGCCACATGGGTTCAGGGCACAAGAAAATGTTTAAGAATCTTGGTTTTAAATAACTTTTCTTTCTTCTTTTATAACTGTGCCAGGAGTAGTATTCTCCATATGCAACTAGAAAGATATTTTAAAAACATAAATTGGCTCATATCACTGCCCTGTTTAAAACTTTTAATAGCTTCCCATTGTATGTTGTAGAAAACCGAAATATCATAAAACAGCCTGCGGGTCTTGCCGGCGTCAGGCCTGCCCATTTCTCCAGCCTCATGCGGTATGCTCTCCTCCCCACACAGGTCTCCTCTCATTTTGCAAAATCTTCAAGTTCTTTTCTGCCTCAGAGCTTCATGTATACAATTTCCTGAAACATTCTTCTCCTCATCATCTCAACAGGCTGGCTCTTTCTCTTCCTTCAGGAGTCAGCTGAAATAGCGTCTCTTTGTAGAATCTTTGGCGAACACTTCCTCCAATAATGACTTTCCTCATTATTCTCTTTCAGAGCACCTCATTCTATTCCTTCATAGAAAAACACTTATCACACTATATAATTATGATCATTGTTTATTTTTTGATCTATGTCTTTCACTTTAAGCACTTGCTCGATGACGGCAGGAACCTAGTTTACTTTATTTACCACTGTGTACTTGGTGCCTAGCATGTAGTAGACACTCAGATAATTGCCGAAAGAGTTCTCAAACATTATCTTACTCAACAAGTGTTTCATTAATATTTACTGGAAACCTAATGTGCCAGACACAGTCTAGAGGCTTGGAATTAGGGAACAAAATTCACAAAGATTCCTGTCCTTGTGGAACTTAAGTGGTATCATAAACTTCCAATTCTGATTCTGATGGAGTCACTGAGACCAATTAAACCTTCTTGCTTTAACTTAAAAATTTGACGAAATATATGAAAAAATGTTTTTAAATGTTATATAATAGGCAGCAAAAGACAATAATCCCTGAGAGAATGGAGACAAGATAAGCCTTCCTGCCTGATAGGGTTTCCAGGCCGCAGCGCAGGCAGGGAGCACCCAAAGCGTTCAGAGGTGTCCCCGAGGTGAGGTGACAGTAACGGAAGAAAGATCTGGGGTGTGTGTGTTGAGGAGGGAGAGCACTCATGCTCTGGAAACCTTCAGAGGGTTCCTTTGAGTCTTTGGCTCAATACTGATAAGCACATTTGTGGAAGACAACTGCTCGAAGCTGTGCAAAGAATTTCAGAAAGTACCAAATGAATCAATCCCTGATGAGCACATAAGGCCCAAATAATTTGCTTCTCCATTGGTCAGAGTGGAAAAACCTCACAATAAATGGGGGATTGAGTAGAGTTCTAAGAAGGGCATTGCTTCAGTTGTGGTGCCAAATAGGCCTAGGTTAAAGGCTGTTATAGACTCCCCTATCAAAGTTTAAAAGTAAGCCTTGACTAAATCAAAATGTTTCCAAGTAACTTAATTGCACCACAGAACAAAATTAAAATATTTAAAGGGATACAAAAAACTTTAGCATGCCACAAGATAAAATTTACAATGTCTAAAATAAGAACAACAAAAACAGGAAAAAACAGACAT